ATGTCTGTCAGTCTATCTCTGTGTTTCTCCCGCTCCCTCCCTCCTCCCTCCCTCTCTCCCTCTCTTTTTCCCTTCTACTTTTTTCTCTTAATCAGATATCATCAATAATCACAATTCCACAACACACACACACACACACACACACACACACACACACACACACACATACACATACACACATACACGCACGCACATACACACACACACACACACACACACACACACACACACACACACACACACACACACACACACACATACACACACACACACACACACACAACACACACACACACACACACACACACACACACACACAACACAACACACGCATACACACAGAAAACGGACACATAGATAAAGGGGAAACAACCATAATATATGAAATTGAGTCGTTACGTCTCGAACTCGTCAAGACTTCCTCGACTGACAAAACAATAACTGATTTTTTTTTTTTTTTTTTTTTTTTGTTATTTGTTCGTCTGATGCGGAACACAACGAATTCGATATGTTACGGTTCAATGTATTTCCTTATTGTGACTGTCATTTATATGCAAATACACATTTATTTATATGAACAATAAGCAATGCATTTAGCAATATACCAAGCTGTTTTTCTTCATTCTTCTAGTGACATAAACCCTCAAGTATTTATAATAATATAATACTTAATTCACTCGCAATTTTGTGTGTGTGTGTGTGTGTGTGTGTGTGTGTGTGTGTGTGTGTGTGTGTGTGTGTGTGTGTGTGTGTGTGTGTGTGTGTGTGTGTGTGTGTGTGTGTGTGTGTGTGTGTGTGTGTGTGTAAACTTAGTCTGTGAACAGTTTAACTGATAACCAATTTCGTAGTGGTGAGGACTCACTTCCACTCTCTCGACATGTTCTTGAGTATGGCTCCTTAAACTATGATTCTTAAGAACAATATTTCATCACGAAGTATATTTGCCACAAAAAAAAAAAATATGACAGACAATATAATCCTTTCATTTCAATTTGGGGGGAAAAAAGGAAATAAAATAGCAATAGACATGGGCGGCAACACCTATATTTACATTTATAAACTTGGTTCCATGAGTTCTCGGAAATGTTTCAGAAAGGTCTAGAAAAATATATATACATCTGTGTAATTTCAAGTCGTTCACGCATTGTTCCTTCGCCCTTCATCCGCAATCGTAGCATTATCCATTCTTCCTTCCCATCTCTCGTTCCATTCACTCCTAAACCACTGTCATTCACTCTCCATTCACTCCTCGTTTCATCCTGTCTTCACTCATTCCCACCCCTTCAATAGCATCTATTCACCACTAAAAAAAAAAACAAAAAAAAACATTCATTCATCCTTACCGTTTTATTCATCCCTAAAACTAAATGGACAATTGCTTCTATTCACCACTAAAAAAAAAAAAAAAAAAAAAAACATTCATTCATCCTTACCGTTTTATTCATCCCTAAACTAAATGGACAATTGCTTCTATTCCCCACTAAAAAAAAAAAAACAAAAAAAAATTCATTCATCCTTACCGTTTTATTCATCCTAAAACTAAATGGACAATTGCTTCTATTCACCACTAAAAAAAAAAAAAAAAAAAAAAAAAACATTCATTCATCTTACCGTTTTATTCATCCCTAAAACTAAATGGACAATTGCTTCTATTCACCACTAAAAAAAAAAAAAAAACATTCATTCATCCTTACCGTTTTATTCATCCCTAAAACTAAATGGACAATTGCTTTCTATTCACCACTAAAAAAAAAAAAAAAAAAAAACATTCATTCATCCTTACCGTTTTATTCATCCCTAAAACTAAATGGACAATTGCTTCTATTCACCACTAAAAAAAAAAAAAAAAAAAAAAAAAACATTCATTCATCCTTACCGTTTTATTCATCCCTAAAACTAAATGGACAATTGCTTCTATTCACCACTAAAAAAAAAAAAAAAAAAAAACATTCATCATCCTTACCGTTTTATTCATCCCTAAAACTAAATGGACAATTGCTTCTATTCACCACTAAAAAAAAAAAAAAAAAAACATTCATTCATCCTTACCGTTTTATTCATCCCTAAAACTAAATGGACAATTGCTTCTATTCACCACTAAAAAAAAAAAAAAAAAAAATTCATTCATCCTTACCGTTTTATTCATCCCTAAAACTAAATGGACAATTGCTTCTATTCACCACTAAAAAAAAAAAAAAAAAAAAAAAATTCATTCATCCTTACCGTTTTATTCATCCCTAAAACTAAATGGACAATTGCTTCTATTCACCACTAAAAAAAAAAAAAAAAAACATCATTCATCCTTACCGTTTTATTCATCCCTAAAACTAAATGGACAATTGCTTCTATTCACCACTAAAAAAAAAAAAAAAAAAAAAAAACATTCATTCATCCTTACCGTTTTATTCATCCCTAAAACTAAATGGACAATTGCTTCTATTCACCACTAAAAAAAAAAAAAAAAAAAAACATTCATTCATCCTTACCGTTTTATTCATCCCTAAAACTAAAATGGACAATTGCTTCTATTCACCACTAAAAAAAAAAAAAAAAAAAAAAAAAACATTCATTCATCCTTACCGTTTTATTCATCCCTAAAACTAAATGGACAATTGCTTCTATTCACCACTAAAAAAAAAAAAAAAAAAACATTCATTCATCTTTACCGTTTTATTCATCCCTAAAACTAAATGGACAATTGCTTCTATTCACCACTAAAAAAAAAAAAAAAAAAAAACATTCATTCATCCTTACCGTTTTATTCATTCCCTAAAACTAAATGGACAATTGCTTCTATTCACCACTAAAAAAAAAAAAAAAAAAAACAACATTCATTCATCCTTACCGTTTTATTCATCCCTAAAACTAAATGGACAATTGCTTCTATTCACCACTAAAAAAAAAAAAAAAAAACATTCATTCATCCTTACCGTTTTATTCATCCCTAAAACTAAATGGACAATTGCTTCTATTCACCACTAAAAAAAAAAACAAAAAAAAACAAAAACATTCATTCATCCTTACCGTTTTATTCATCCCTAAAACTAAATGGACAATTTGCTTCTATTCACCACTAAAAAAAAAAAAAAAAACATTCATTCATCCTTACCGTTTTATTCATCCCTAAAACTAAATGGACAATTGCTTCTATTCACCACTAAAAAAAAAAAAAAAAAAAAAAAAAAAAAAAAAACATTCATTCATCCTTACCGTTTTATTCATCCCTAAAACTAAATGGACAATTGCTTCTATTCACCACTAAAAAAAAAACAAAAAAACATTCATTCATCCTTACCGTTTTATTCATCCCTAAAACTAAATGGACAATTGCTTCTATTCACCACTAAAAAAAAAAAAAAAAAAAAACATTCATTCATCCTTACCGTTTTATTCATCCCTAAAACTAAATGGACAATTGCTTCTATTCACCACTAAAAAAAAAAAAAAAAAAAAAACATTCATTCATCACCGTTTATTCATCCCTAAAACTAAATGGACAATTGCTTCTATTCACCACTAAAAAAAAAAAAAAAAAAAAAACATTCATTCATCCTTACCGTTTTATTCATCCCTAAAACTAAATGGACAATTGCTTCTATTCACCACTAAAAAAAAAAAAAAAAAAAAAAAAAAAACATTCATTCATCCTTACCGTTTTATTCATCCCTAAAACTAAATGGACAATTGCTTCTATTCACACTAAAAAAAAAAAAAAAAAAAACATTCATTCATCCTTACCGTTTTATTCATCCCTAAAACTAAATGGACAATTGCTTCTATTCACCACTAAAAAAAAAAAAAAAAAAAAAAAAAACATTCATTCATCCTTACCGTTTTATTCATCCCTAAAACTAAATGGACAATTGCTTCTATTCACCACTAAAAAAAAAAAAAAAAAAAAAAAAATCATTCATCCTTACCGTTTTATTCATCCCTAAAACTAAATGGACAATTGCTTCTATTCACCACTAAAAAAAAAAAAAAAAAAAAAAAAACATTCATTCATCCTTACCGTTTTATTCATCCCTAAAACTAAATGGACAATTGCTTCTATTCACCACTAAAAAAAAAACAAAAAAAAAAATTCATTCATCCTTACCGTTTTATTCATCCCTAAAACTAAATGGACAATTGCTTATTCACCACTAAAAAAAAAAAAAAAAAAAAAAAAAAACATTCATTCATATTTACCGTTTTATTCATCCCTAAAACTAAATGGACAATTGCTTCTATTCACCACAAAAAAAAAAAAAAAAAAAAAAAAAAAAAACATTCATTCATCCTTACCGTTTTATTCATCCTAAAACTAAATGGACAATTGCTTCTATTCACCACTAAAAAAAAAAAAAAAAAAAAACATTCATTCATCCTTACCGTTTTATTCATCCCTAAAACTAAATGGACAATTGCTTCTATTCACCACTAAAAAAAACAAAAAAAAACATTCATTCATCCTTACCGTTTTATTCATCCCTAAAACTAAATGGACAATTGCTTCAGCTTCATTCATTCCTAAATTCTAATTCATTCATGGCTTCAGGTTCCTCACATCCTTCAAAACAGATTCATTCGGACCTAAAACGAAATTCACCCACTGCTTCAGCTTCATTCATTCACTAAAACCAAAGTCATCGGTTGAGTAATAACACTAACAATAGCAATAATAATAATAATAATAATAATGGTAACCGGTTGAATAATGACACCAATAATAACAACAATAATAATGGTAACCGGTTGAAAAATAACACTAATAATAATAATAATGGTAATCTGTTGCATAACACTAATAACAAAAATAACAATAACAATAATAATAATCGTAATCGGTTAAATAACACATAACAATAATAATAATGGTAATCGATTAAATAATATGCCTAATAATAATAATAATAATTGTAATCGATGAATAATAACACTAATAATAACAACAAAAATAATAATAGTAGTAGTAGTAGTAATAATAATAATAGTACTACTACTACTACTACTAGTAACAATAATGACAATAATAACAACAACAAATCAAGCCCAGCCCTACACCCCAGTTCTCCCTTTCTCTAACAGCCGAAGGAACAACCGATCGAGAACCACGACCTTCCCCTCCTTGTCCTTCTCGAGGCCTCCCCGCTTCTCCAGGATCTCGATGACGTAGTAGCCAGCGATCCCCAGCAGGAGGAACACGTTGAGGACCACGACCTTCGAGCTCACGCAGAGGACGGTGCTGCAGGCGTAAGCGATGATGAAGCCAGTCGCCTCCCACAAGCGGTAGTTGCTGAAGGCGGCTTCGGACTGGCCCGGGAAGATCACGCCGTAGAGAGCTGGGGGGAGAGAGAGAGGAGAGTGGGTATGGGTGGGGGGGTTGGAGGGGTGGGGGGTGGGGTGGGGTGGGTGGGGTAGGGAAGGGTGGGTGGGGTGGGAAGAGTTGGGTGGGGGTGTGTAGGGGTTGGGGTGGGGTGGAGTGGGGGAGGGAAGGGTTGGTGGTGGGGTGGGGTGGTAGGGAAGGGTTGGGTGGGGTGGTAGGGAAGAGTTGGGTGGGGGTGTTTGGGTTGGGTGGGGTGGGAAGTGGGGTAGGGAAGGGTGGGTGGGGTGGGGTGGGGTAAGGAAGGTTGGGTGGGTGGGTGGGTTAGGTGGGCAGGGAAGAGTTGGGTGGGGTGTTTTGGGTGGGGGTGGGGGTGGGGTAGGAAGGTGGGGGTGGGTAGGGAAGGGAAGGCTTGGGTGGGGTGGGTGGGTAGGAAGAGTGGTGGGGTGGGGGAAGAGTTGGTGGGGGTTGGGTGGGTTAGGGTGGGGGGTGGGAAGGTTGGGTGGTAGGGAAGGGTGAGGGTTGGGGCGGGGGTAAGGGTTGGTTGGTGTGAGTTAGGGTAGGGTAGGTTAGGTTGGATAGGGCAGTAGGGTAAGAAAGGGTGGGTAGGGTTGGGTAGGGTAGGATAGGGTTGGATTGAGTTGGATGGAAAGGGTAGGTTTGGTTGGAATGGATTGGGTTGGGGGGTGGGGTGGGGGTGGGATGGATAGGTAGGGTGGGTAGAGTTTGGTGGGGTTGTTTGAAGAGTTGGGTAGAGTAGGTTGGTGGTGGTTGTAGGGTAGGGCATATCGTGTGTATATACTGCATATTAATATCAATGTATTTATCTATATCTATCTGCATAACAAACAAACACACACACACACAAACTATGCAGTTTTTCTCTATTATAATTGTATTTGTTTTTGTAAAGCAGATACATGAGTCAAGTCCATGTCAAGCATTACAACTTACCATCGATTCTACGAGCCTGCCACTAACTATTCAAACGTGACAGCAAGGACACTCTCCTTAGTTAAAATGGGAAAGGATAGATCAGTTGCAACTCGAGGTGGTGTCATGGCGTCTGTTTTGTTGATCGTTCAATGAAAATACTAACAATTAAAACCATTATTTTCCATCCTTTTTGAAAATTGAAGAGACCAAAATGATCGACCATATTCACAAAGCATCCGTAATTTTTGCGACGTCATCAAAATAAACCGCATGTGTTTTGTTTTCCAAAAATAGAATCAGACGCCATGACACCTCGAGTTGCTACTGATCTAGCCTTTCCCTTGTTAAAATTACCTTGCTCGCAATCCAGTTAAATTAGTCATAAATACTGTATTTACTAAACTGAACCGATTATTCCGCTATACAAAGCTTTGGAAAATTCCATCGCAAAAAAATAAATACTGGGAATTAGTATCACGTATCGAAATTCCCGCCGGCATGTATAAACCAGCGTCCCCTTACTGTTGATCTGCGTCTGCCATACTGCGTCAGCGACTCCCCAGAGGCCAGAGATGACGAAGAACATCACCAAATCATCGGGTTTCGGCGTCCAGTACGTAAGAGTGATGTTCAACCCCAAGTTAATGAGGAAACCGAGGCTGAAGACGGGGACACGGCCGTACTTTCGGACGATGGGGCTGAATCCAACGGAGCAGATGGCGTCACACACACCGTAGCAAATGATGATGTAACCGACCATGTGTACGCCCAGACCACAGGATACGTAAGCCTATAAAAAGTGTTTGGATAAATCACACAGCATGTCTGTAAGATAATCTTCAGTTTTCCTTATTGACGAATTGTTATAGGTGAATCTAAATGTTCTTTATACTTCAATATCTGTCAAGTAAGACGGTTATAACTTCATAAATATTTAAAATTATGAAGATCTAGCTTCAACAGCAACAAACGTTCTTTTAAAAACGCTACAGATATTTTTCTTATGAAAAAAAAAAAAAAACATTGTGAACAAATTTTAGTACAGCCCTATATCTTCCCAAACCATGAATTCAGAGTGGGACATGAGTGCTCACCGCCGTGTAATCTGCTCCGAGGAAAGCCTGCTCCACGCCCGACCATATTGTCAGGGGAACGATTAGCAACTGGTATGGGTGGCGCAGCTGGTTGAAAGTGGCGGCAACGAGCACGAGGCCGCTCTTTTCTTGGCTATTTGGGGTTTCCTTCACAAATCTAAAGGAATAGAAATGAATGTGTATGTGGAGGACCATAAGACGCTAGAGCATGTTCCCTACATAGCTCTTCCAGGATGGAAGAATCACGGGGGGGGGGGGGGATACCGTCCTTTAGTAACCTCATATGTGACTTCTTTATGCATGTTATATCTATTTCTATTAGATGTATTACATTTCTAAAACCAATTACCATGCGTTTCAAAAGTTCCGATCGTTTAGTACCAAATTTGAATCCTAATGACGTATAATTAGTCCAAAATGTAAAAAGAAAATGTGCAATGTGGTGTAACATTTTTAACGTATAGGTTAAAAAAGTACACCTTAATAACCTCCCTTCACGAATATGATCGAACTACATAAATGAGATAAACAATTTAACATGGAATATATAACATTAATAAAATAATCCAACCAAAGCTCAAAACCAAAGAAAACGGACGAGAGCCTCACCGACTCAGCGGATCCACGAAGAAAACGGTGATGGCGGCGGCGAAGAGCGAGCAGCCGAGGTAAATGGAGGCCATGGTGTAGATCTGCCACGGAGGAGGACCATCTTGGCGACTGCTCGTGCTGTTGGTGGCGTTGCCGGGGGACTCCTCGTTCTTCTGGTCGAGGCAGAAGTTGTAGCCGCAGGTGAGCAGCTCCTCGGCTGTCTTGTCGATCTTTTCCACGCCTACTGATAGGACTAGAGGGCGGGGAAGATGATCTTGTTAATGTTTGTTGTTGATATGATTTTAATTCATGGAAGAGCAGCGAGGGAAAAAGATAGAAAATTATTTGGCTTCAGCAGTCATGTCACTGAGCAAATGCAGATATGGAAATGAATAGGACTTTACCTAAACGCTATCTAGTCTCAGGAATTGAAAAACTGTCAACTCAGCCTGGACTTTGGCGTTCTATTGACGGTAAAAACCTCAAAGAAAAACAAATAGATTCTAAAATAATGATAATGATAATAATAAATAGATAAATTAAAAGTAAACCATATAGGCAAATATAAGTATTTAGAATTAATTGTCGTCTGTATTACTGTATAATAGATTGAGAGAGCGAGAATGAATCTTATTTCAATATGTATTGTATATTTGACAATTGATTCAGTAGTGAAAATAAGTACAGAGGATAGGTAATAAATATTAGATTTAGTTTAAAAGTTTGACGTCCATGTTGGAACACATTATTTAGACTATAACAAGACAAGTGAAGAGAGGCAATTAATAAAAAATACTTACGAAATTGAGACAGGGATAAAAATCAGTTAGAATAATATTACCATTATTTAAAATGGCTTTACCAATCCTTAAACGGAACGAGAAATGAAAGAAGCGGTTTTTCGAAATTCAAATAGTTCGGGTAAATGCGGTGATAGAACCCAGACTTCGGATTTAAATGCTTGTATTTTCTTTAACAACTGTGACAACTTTTGCACTTTAATTAAATTTTGCAAATATATTATTCAGTTTGCTATTTCAAATCATTTTTTGTAGGATGATACTAATTTGAATATTGATTAATAACTCAAAACAACGCCGAAGTCGGGGCTCTAACGTCACATTCGCATTCGGAAAAGCAAACTTCTCAGTAAAGAGGAAATAGAAAAAAATATATATATTGGCAACCGTTATGATGACAAAATCTCTTATTAATCATTCGTTTAATATTGAAAGCTTATAATGATTAAATCAATGTAAAAATCTACTTTTCCTAATGACTTTGATATATGCGTTCGTGTGTTGTTTGATGTGTGTGTGCGTGCGAGCGAGTGTGCGTGCGTTCGTCCGTGCGTTTACGTGTGCAAGTGCGTGTACGTGCCTGCATGTGTCTGCATCAACATCTGTATCGTGCATGTGGACGTCGGTGCGTGCGTGTGTTTGTATCCACAGGTATTTCCAGCATCAATAACATTCAATAACTCCATCCTTTACCTCCCTCTCCCTCCTCCCTCCTCCCTTGCCCCTTCGTCCCCCTTACTCACTCTCGGTTCTCATACTTCCAGAGACACACCTGTAGAAGAGATGACGTTGCCCCACACCTCTCCCTCCCTCTCTCCTTCGCTTCTTCCCTCCCTCTCTCTCCCTCTTTCCTTCTCCCTCCTTCGTTCCCTCTCCCTACTTCCCTCACTCTCCCTCCTTCCCTTCCTCTCGTTCTCTCCCTCTCCCATGTCTCTCAAAACCTCCAGAGACACACCTGTAGAAGAGATGACGTTGCCCCACACCTGCGTCCTCTCTCCTCTCCCTCTCTCCCCCTCCCTCCCTCTCCCTCCCTCCCTCCCTCCTCCCTCCTCCCTCCCTCTCCTTCGCTCCTTCCCTCTCCCTCTCTCTCTCCTCTCTCAATAACCTCCAGAGTTGCCCACAGCTGCGTCTCTCTCTCTCTCTCTCTCCCTCCCTCCCTCCCTTTCCCTTCCCTCCCCTCTCCCTCCCTCTTCCTTCTCTCCCTTTCCCCCTTTCCTTTCCTTCTCCTCTCTCCCTCCCCCTCTCCTCCTCCCTCCCTTTCCCTTCCTTCCCTC